TCGTCACCTGTTTCGAGGTTTCATGCCTCTGTTTCCCCATCTCGGCGTCCACATCAACGTGCCGCGCCTACCGCTCGTGACCCACGTGTTTTCTGTCCCTCAGCTAGCCTGGCCAGTGTCCCCGCCCCCGTTAATTCCCCTCTTTCCGCTGTCCCGTCCCACCCCTGGTCCACTGGCGGATTGTCTCTTCCGGTCTGAATTCGAGCCACCAGCGGCCGCCCATATGAGCAGGGAAGGCAACAACCAGAAGCGTTGCCAGAATTTGTATCGGCGGTGCTGCTGATACACTGAGGTTTCCCGTGGATTCAGCACCACCGTAGATCGAACCGGGGTAGTTAATCCATCTGAGGTAGTTAATCCTTTCCTCAGAGTTGACCAGCTAGCAGTGTTGTGCGATAGTTTTCGGCAGACTCGCGCGCAGTCTTCAGGTGCAGAAGCACTGACCCCGGGGTGGCGGTCGCCAGAGGCTGCTTGACGCTGATCCAACAACGCACACCAAGCGGCGGTCAACGGGCGATAGCGACCACGCATAGAAAAGTGGTGATTTCGCTTTATGGCATCGAATAGTGCGTATGGTAGGTAGTCCAAGCCGTATATTTCCTCTGTGTGATTTTCGGATTCATCCTTGAAACATATAGCATTTACAGCATCACAAACTCTTGACGAAATGATGGAGCCTCTATTGTTTGTGTTATAACTGCTAATCCACTCAGAGGACGAACCTTGAAACCACTCAAGCGGAATAACATATATCAGTGCAAATCCTGAACAGCATGAATTAATTTTGAAAAATCTTCGGCAGCGTTATTCCCCTACATGCTGGTCGTTCTTGCGTACTCGTCTCCCGCCGCCCGGTGTTAGGCGCGGCGGCGCGCGGCGGCAATCGCCGCCTCGTGTTAGGTGCGGCGGCAATCGCCACCTGGTGTAAGGTGCGACGGCAATCGCCGCCTGGTGTTAGGCGCGGCGGCAATCGCCGCCTCGTGTTAGGTGCGGCGGCAATCGCCGCCTGGTGTTAGGTGCGGCGTCAATCGCTGCCTCGTGCTAGGTGCGGCGGCAATCGCCGCCCGGTGTTGGGCGCGGCGGCAATCGCCCCTTGGTGTTAGGTGCGGCGGCAATCACCGCCTCGTGTTAGGCGCGGCGGCAATCGCCGCCCGGTGCTAGGCGCGGCGACAATCGCCGCCTGGTGTTAGGTGCGGCGGCAATCGCCGCCCGGTGTTAGGTGCGGCAGCAATCGCCGCCTCGTGTTAGGTGCGGCGGCTCCCGCCGCCTGGTGTTAGGCGCGGCGGCAATCGTCGCCTCGTGTTAGGTTCGGCGGCTCCCGCCGCCTGGTGTTAGGTGCGGCGGCAATCGCCGCCTGGTTTTTGGTGCGGCGGCTCCCACCGCCTAGTGTTAGGTGCGGCGGCTCCCGCCGCCTGGTGTTAGGTGAGGCGGTAGTCGCCGCTAGGTTTTACGGAGACTGCAACGACGGATAACGGCACTGTTTTTGCAACTTAAGGTTGCAAGCGTGCATTCTCCAAGCTATTTAAATGGTTTTGAGCTTAGTGATTCTGGAAGAGATGAACGTCCTCGGGAAAAGGCGTCGTATCATGCCAATGTAATTTTTCTCATTCCGCTTTAATCCAGCCCATTGAGCACTACGGAGACCCATACTATTCCCGGGCAGGGGCCCCGTGGGTAGAATACTAGGGGATGCATTACCCTCTCCGGTGAGATGTTGAGAGTCCCTCTCGTCCCAGCCCGAGGTACCTACCGGCTGCAGTTATGGCGGTACGGGGCCGTAGGACTCCGCTTGATCCGGAGGAGCTTGGAGGGATACGTCATACATTGGTCCCCTGCCTGATGCGACAGGGCCTCTGACCGGAGCATTTGGCCCCGGATCAACACATGCACACTCACTGACGAAAAACATTCCTTACTGGCGCAGATCGTCCCATGACTGGTACAGTGACACCACCTCGACTTATCGGGCCCTAGCTGAAACGCGAAGGAAGACTTCCGTTCGGCATTGGAGTCCCTGACTGACACAGGGTCCTTTTATTGCCTTACCTCACGCATTTTCATTGTCATTTCTCATATCCACTTTTATTGTGAGGGGGCCCTACCAAAGCAAGAGCCCCTCTGCTCTTCGGGGTCGCGTCCCTGTTCCTGTTCAGCAAATGGGCCAATGGCCGACTCGGGAACCTTTATCGACACTGGATATGACGTTGGGCATTGCGGGTTCCTGAACAACACAGGGCCGCCTCATTATTTTAGGGTCCTAACCAATGCAATACGCCCTCAGTGATAATCGCCGGCACCAGCCTTGTCCTGGTTGGCAAACGTGCACCCAGCACCCAGACCGACACGGAGCCGGCTGTTAAGTGTAGCTGGTCGTTGTCCTTCATCATCCCAAGGGGCTCCCCATAGACACAAGAGGTCTTTTGACCTACGTTCGAGGGTCCGGGCCTTTCGGGATCTGCAATCGGCCCTTGATCGTCGATCCCGAGGGGCTCGATAAAACTCACGGGACGTAAGAAGGGGCGGAGGAATTGTGCCCCTTGCTCTGTACCCTCTCTCCCTGCACATCTACATGGCCCTAACTACGTTCTGAAATGGTGGGATTCAGCAGCACGCCCCAGCCAGCAGTGCAGAACCACCCATTGACACAGATGCACCTCCTAAATAACTACACATAACTACCAGAAGTGAGAAATGTAACATTCGAAAACCGGACTTCCGATCGTGGTTTACCCCATGTTGCCAAGCCAAAGCTTGCCAAGCCAAGCTCTAAGCCAAAGCCGTTGACTTTCAAGTTGGGAAGTCAATGCCGTTATCCAGTCTTCTGTATCACAACGTAAGCAGAGCAGCTTTATGAATGAAGGTCAAACTGACTGGCTGAAAGGTCAAGCTAACTTGACGGGACACGTCACAACGTATGGAACAGCTTTAGACGACGTCACTTTAGTGCAGAGCTGTGATATTGGCATGCAATTTTATATGCATGCTTTCGAGTAGCACGGAAGTGTAACACCCCAGTGATTTATACGAGTGTGCCGGGTCTGAATGGTTGTATTGTTGGTTACCTGGACCTCCTCGTTCTTCTCGAGATGCGATTTTTCGCCTGAGTCATGTCAGTCCCAGTTGAGTGTGCCGGCGGGCCGTTTGTTTCTGATCCGAGTCGCCATCCCGCCACATCACGACCCACCCATATGTGACATGTCTCACGCCGCAGCGGCGCGTGTTTGAGCGTCGAGCGCGTCTGGGTGGTCTGTCGCTCAGACCAGTCTCGACTGGCTGCTGAGAAACCCCGGGGACCGCCGTTCCAGGAGACCAGGGCCCCTGACACCACCGTTGGAGGTGCTTCGGACGCGGTTCTTGCGCCGTCGGCCCTGGATCAGCCGGTCCGAGACCGCTCCCACCAGTCGGTCAGCCGGCCGCCCCATCTGCCGGTGTCGTCCGGCTGCTGGTCCGCCCGTCCATACGGCCCCTGATCTGAATGGGGCCTGTCCTGGGTGCGTGACAGGTGACGGGCCGTCAACAAGCGACCGACCGGCGCGCCGCCGACACCGGCCGCCTGTCACCGGCCCGCCCGGCCGACCGGCGCGCCCCTGTCAGGGTGCTAATTTTTTGGCGCGCCCTCCGCCGAGAGATTGTAATACAATGGTGTCCTGCGCCCGTCAGATACAAACGGGTCGGCGACGCACAATACGTCGGCTCCATTGTCGGCCGGGCAACAGGCGCAGACAAAAACAGAGCCAGGCTGGCCGGCGGCATCGACAGGTGCAGGCGACCTCTGGACAGCGTCCCGACCCGAGGTCACAGGCCGCATCCGGGGCGCTGGAGTCGCAGGTCACCCCAGGGGTCATCAGGGGTCATACAACTCCCACCGCACCTGAGGTGCCTCTGTGCTCAGATGCGCTGATCAGCGGCAGGACGCCAGGTGCCGCCGCCTGGTGTCGTCGAGCAGATCCGGCGCCGTCAACAAGCGCAACGCGAACTCCCCACGGAGCGTCCTGACACTGGTCGAGCTCAAATTACCGATGTCAAACGACCGTTACCCAGTAAGGCAACTGTATAGTGGGTGCAGCTGTGGAAGGCTTCTTCAGCTGGTTTTAGCGATCTCCGTTATAATTTGTCACTTGAACCTACACTCGTCGTTTTCTCCTTCGCGCTTTTTAAACAGGCGTATGTACTCGAGCAACTCGTAATTTTCACCCTCGCAACACCAAGCAACATGTCCAGCTGGATGACTGGAGCAAGTGTGGTGAGTTGGCTGATGGTTTGGCGGCCCCTCAGGCGTCCTGTATCTCGCTGCCATCCGACCTAACGACCGGGTCCCAGAACTCCGCCGCCGCCGCCCTGCCATGCGGCCACAGACCTGGTCACCCGGCGCGTCCCGCGGCCTTGGTGGCGTGACGGGTGGCTCTGCTGAGACCCCGCCATCGAGGGCCAGGTCAGCGCCTGCTCTGCCGAGATCCCACCATCGAAGGCCAGATCAGCACCTGCGCTGGTGCCATCCCCCCCCCCCCAACACACAATGAGGACCCCCGCCGGACCCGTTTGAGCGCCGAGAACCGCCGCTTCCCCGTCCTCCGGGGCGGGCATGCCCCATCCCCGGGAACATCCAGTGACCAGGATCCAGCATGGTCCCGAGACACATCTGGTGACCAGGATCCAGTCTGGCCCCGAGACACATCCAGTGACCAGGATCCAGTATGGTCCCGCGACACATCCAGTGACGAGGATCCAGTATGGTCCCGAGACACATCCAGTGACCAGGATCCAGTATGGTCCCGCGACACATCCAGTGACGAGGATCCAGCATGGTCCCGCGACATAACATCCATTCCGTTAACGTATGGTGGTTTGTCGCAGGTCGGCGACACCAGGATGATCAGCCACGGTGCTGATGTCCGGGCGTGGCTGCTGAGCCGCGTGTACGCTGATGTCGTGCAGGTGATATCTCACACGAGTGTTCAGTCACATCGCAGCCCACCGGCGACGAAAGCCACAGCCCGGTGTCAGATTTATGATGCTGTATTAAGTGTTACCGAGTACTTACACTGTCTAGATCCCCGCTCGCGCTCTTGCACGTTACTATATATAAACATATAAAGACACATCACTGTCACAAAATCAGTACCATACCGTAACAGAATCAAACGACCCGACCAATGAGTTGGTACTTTTGACGACTAAAGCTTCCAAATCATCTTTGGCCACCGGCGACAAGCACGTAGATGATGTTTCTATGTCAGGTATGGGCTACACCTAAGTAAATTGCAGGCATTCAGCTTTGTACGAATTTCCACGATCGGTCTCCATGACAACACTGCTTTTCTAACCCGTTGCTCATGGCAGTAGTCAAGAGAGGCGCGCCCCTGGACTGCGGAGCAAGGCTCCTCTACTCTGGTGGCGTTCGGGTGCCCTGCTGGCGTCTCCGCACTGCTCTGTCCCGCGCCTGCGTCGCTCGCCGCCTCATCCCCGCCCAGCGCCCCCACAGAAGCTCAGCCATGTACAAGCGTCCACGTGGCGTGGAGACGGCGGTCCTCTACTCGCTCGTAAGGCACACGGGTTTGTTAGTGGGGCGGCGGCGGCCCGTGCCGCCCGCCGCCTCCCGTGGGCCGTCCGCCCGGTAGACGGGCTTACTCTACAGCTGGCGGGGCCCGGCCGTCGCGGCTCCGGTTGTGCGGCCGCTCAAGGCACTCATTAAACCCCTAGTCACCGACACAACTTAACCTAGCGGACCTTAACGGCTACGCCTTACAGTTAAGTCTGTACAGCTGGGCCGCCGGGCGGCGGGAGGCGGCCGCCGGCGGGGCGAGGCCCGCGCCGACGGTCGCCACGCGCCAGGCCGGGCCGGGCCGTGGGTCAGGTGACAGACAACGCTGCTAGTGGTGGGTCGGCCCTCGCAGGGGCGGCGCGGCTGTCTCTTGTGAGACGCGCGCGGTCACGTTCGGTACAGACGGTGTGGACGGAGGCGCTGGCACGCCACGAGGCGTGGCTGTGCTGTCGATGGGCGGCTGTGGTGCGACAGACGGCCGCAGTCTGCTGCTGCTGCTGTCTGCCCCGGTCAGCTCGGTCCTCTTGCACCGACTCTGCGCGGGTGACGCTCCCACTACATCCCACGGGTCTCCCGCGGCCGCTCGCCGCCACGCCTGTCCACCACCTCTGGCTGACTAGGAAACAGGAATGTCGCGACGCACTGCGCCGGCCGGCCCACTGGCGGACACACAGCCGCTCGCCGTCCGGACACACTGGCGGACACACCGCTCGCCGTGCGGACGCACTGGCGGACACGCAGCCGCTCGCCGTCCGGACACACTGGCGGACACGCCGATCGCCGTCCGGACACACTGGCGGACACGCCGCTCGCCGTCCGGACGCGCGGGCGCTCAGATGGGCGGCGGACCACGCATGTAGCGCAGCTGCGGCGTCAGCGACATGCTCAGGTTGTTCAGGTGATCACAGCAGTGCGGCTCCAGCAGGCAGGCCACGCAGAAGCAGAGCATCAGCGCCAGCTGGAAGGGCAGTGCGGCACGCAGCACGCGCCACAGCCAGCCGCGCCGGCCGCGGCCGCCGCCCGACAGCGGCGCCAGCTCGCGCCGCGACGCCGAGTAGCTCTTCCGCCTGGAACAGAGGCGAGCGGTAAGCGGCGCCGGCACGAGACACGGCAGACACCCTGCGGACCGGACCGGACCGGACCGGACCGGCAGCCGCCAGGTCAGCAGTCTCCGGCCAGACACCCGGCTGGTAGCCGCTGCCGACGCAGCGGATCGGCCGGCAAAACAACTTCGTCACTGTCCAATTACCCGAGTCGGTTACAATCTTCAATGGGCGAAAGCTGCGGAGATAAACAGGGCCATTAGCCATGGGCAAAAAAGTAATTACAAAGATGAAAAGACACAGAAATAATCGGGGACAATTATTGGTTGACAGCGCAGCAGGGATGGCGTGGCTGGGGGCCGAGCAGGGGCGGGTCCAACCACATAGCTCATCCAGCAACCATGATTTACTTGCCGGTCTGCTCATGAAGTAAATAAAAACTCGTAAATAACGCATAAATTATCCCGGTTTAGCGTTCCTTTCGGCTCAAAATTATGCATTGCAATCGGCCACCCGGTGTGTCCTGTCGCAGCCGAGAAATTTACGACGCAGCGACGCGCGGCTTATCTTGCGCGCTTCTTTTTATCGCGGCCGGAGTGGCGCATCCGTTTTTAACGATATTTATAGCGCGACCACGCCGTGCCCACAGGCCAGACATCGGCAGCGGCAGAATTGCTCTGCGTTTGTAGCCGGCTGGCCACTCCCGAGCGGTGAGGCAGCAGGCACAGCGCCGGGGGCGGCCATTAAAGCGGCATTTGTGGCGCGGCCGCGGCTGTCGTCAGCCGGCCCCGGAGAGGGTTTAAGCGCAACGGCGGCGCGCCGACTGGCCGGCCGCACGCGCCATTGCCCGGCGATAAATCGCCTAATGCGTCCCCGGCTGGCATAACAGCCGCGCCGGAATGTCCCCCGGATGAATATCGAGAGTCATCCGTTACCAGGCCACTGCGCGAATTAAAATTTAACGACAATCATCTGCACAATTACAGCGGCCCAATTAACTGCGACAAGATTAAACACCCGTCTAATTACAAACAGAATTAAACGGCCTACGTCGTTTGTACTTCACTGTTGTTTTACGGCGGTTTAAGCGCTCCTAAACTACTGCAACTTTTGCACGACGTAAGGAATGAGATCTGTCGCCCAGGCCATATAGAAAAGGGAGCCGTGCAACTGTGCGCAACAGGTCAGCTGTACAGAGCTTTACCACAAGGAGAGGCCCTGCCGAACTCGTGAGGCTGGCCCGCAACCGGCCGCCAGGAGAACAGGCGTTGGCGCCACGGAACAGTCAGATGAGCTGCCTTCGTCCCAGCCAGCACGGCCGGCGTCCCAGCCACTACGGCCGAGGTCTCGGCCACTACGGCCGACGTCCCGGCCAGCACGGCCGACATCCCAGCCAGCACGGCCGACGTCCCAGTCACTACGGCCGAGGTCCCAGCCAGCACGGCCGACATCCCAGCCAGCACGGCCGGCGTCCCAGTCACTACGGCCGAGGTCTCAGCCACTACGGCCGACGTCCCGGCCAGCACGGCCGACATCCCAGCCAGCACGGCCGACGTCCCAGTCACTACGGCCGAGGTCCCAGCCAGCACGGCCGACATCCCAGCCAGCACGGCCGGCTGGAGAGGCCAGGATCGAGCTGAGCTCCCGTCAGACGGGGCCTGAGCCGTCACAGCGACGGGGCGGGGCTCTGCCCTGCCCCGACGGAGCCGTGGCCGGCCGGTAGCCGTCGCGGCCGCCGCCCGCGGCGCGGCATTTAACAATTCATACCGGGCGCCGCCCGGGCCGCGGCCTCTCAGTGACTGCCGACATCGACCCGGCGCTAATGGGGCCATCTCTATTCGGCGGGCGGTGGCGCACACGGCCCGATTCCCGTCGACCCGCCCCCCTCCCCCCCCCCCTCTTCCTCTGCCGTGCGGCCCGCCGGCGCGCCGACACAGCCAGCCGTACTGGCGGCGCCTCAACCCACCGGCGGGACCGGAAGACACTGGGACAGTCGCGACTCACACGGCCGAACATCAGCCCCAGCCAGCTGCTGCCCCAGACGCCGAGAGCCTCCGCACGCTGTGTGTGTAGACCGAGCATGTCCTGGACGGGGGGCGGGGGATGCGGGCTGACGGTGGGCCCCCTGGCCGGTCAGGTCGGCTCAGTCGCCGGCCATTCCCAAACAAACACTCAGCCCGCGGCGTCCAGTGGCGGCACACGGCCGGCACATGCGCCATGAATGCCCGGTCTGATGTTGGGTCTGATAGCGCCATGCCAGCCGGTCAGGCCGTATCGGGACCGGCGGCATTCGTGGCGCGCGCCGCTGCCGCCGGCCGCGCGGCATTCTGGACACGTCGACAGCAGCGTCGCGCCCCGCTCGGACGCGGCCAAACAAGCGGCGGTGCAAACGGCCGACACTAACGCGAGCGCCACGGGAGTACGCGACGACGCACCGCACTGTCGCCGGCGGCAGGGGCGCATCAGTCGAAGTTCAACTGTCGCAGTGCCGCATCAGTCGAGAGGCTCCACAGCGGAGCAGCCCACGTTGGCGGGCTCGCGTCCGTCCGATGGTGAGCCGAGTTAGAGGTGATGCGTTTCACCTTTCTCCGATACCAAAACGAGTGGAGCATGACAACTTTAATGTCTCGGACGGGAGACAGCGTAACGCCGTCGTGACGTAGCAGTGTAGTGTAACAGACGTCGTGTTTGAGCTCCTCTCAGAGACCAGTTTGCTCTATGAGTCTGTGGTGTTTGATCCTGTTTCTTGGACTACCACGGCATTAACAATTGCCTAGCAAAAAGTTCATTGCGGCGTGCCGGAAATGGAAGCTGCCTCGGCCCACGTGAGAGCGGGCCCGGCGGCGGCGGCGGCGGCGGCGGCGCTGTTTGTACTACCCGGGCCGGCGCGAGGCCGCAGGCTCGTCCCATCTTGACCGTCCGGCGGCCTCCAAACACGCCACTGAGAGGGGCCGGCCGGCGACCAAACACGCTTCAGTCGGACCGGCGCACGACGGCGGCCCCACCCTAATGGCGCGCGTGTGTGCGCGGCGGCCGGCCGGCCGGGCCGCCGTAAAACAGGCGAGCGTCGGAGCGGGCCAGGCCGCGGCGGCAGCCGACACGCGTCCACCGCCGCCGCCGCCGCCGACGGCCGCATACTAATGAAGCGGGTGCGGACAGAGCCAGGCCGCGACAGAGCCTCCAGGGGTCGGGCGCAGGCTGACCGGCGGCTGGGCTACCGCAGGCCGGCACGGCGGGCCACAACAGCGGCCGGATACGTGCCGCCGGAGAACGGATCTTCGGGTACGGCGGCGGCGCGGCGACCCGGCCCAGATCCGGCCCGGCCCTCGTGACCAGATCCGCCGGCGAAGCTGGTGGCCAGTGGTCCCGACACCTCTGGTAACTGGTGCCGCCGACGGCCCTGGTAACCAGTAGCGCCGACACCTCTGGCGACCAGTGGCGCCGACACCTCGGCCACCTGCGGAGCCGGTCAGACTGCGAGCCCATGATGCCGCTGCCCCCGGCGGCGAGGGCCGCTCTCGGCCGAGGTACCTGGCGAGGTGCGCGCCCCCGTCCGACGAGCCGGGAGCTCCGCACTGGGCCACCGCACGAGTCGGACGACGGGTCGACAGCGCCGCGATTCCGCAATCGTCTCATCCCGCGCTGATCACGTTTAATGACCATACGGTGCTAGTCGCGCAGCATGGTGGACAATGCCTCGCGTGTCATCTGCGCTGCAGCCGGCGGCGAGCGGCGCAGTCGTGGCGTGCAGTCGGCGTTACCTGAGCAGGGGGCTGCCGCCGGAGGGGCCGGTGTCGGCCTGGAACTGGGCCGTCGTCTTGATGACCAGCTCGCGACACGACTGCTGCAGCTCGCGCAGCTCCGAGGCGGCTGACGTCAGCGTCTGAGGACGGGGCACGGCCGACAGTCAGCCTGGCACACACACACACATACACACACACCTGCACACAACATACACAACACGCACACCTACACAACACACAACATATCTGCACGACACACACACACACACACACACACACACACACACACACACACACACACACACACACACACACACACACACACACACACACGCACGCACACACACACACACACACACACACACAACACGCACTTGCCTCTTACGATGGGCTGGGAACGTGGCGGTAACGGCAGGCGCTGACAGACAGGGATGGGACACGGGATGGTAAACCATAGGCACATCACAACACAATGCACCAGACAATGATCGAGACCACCTGGGGTCACGCCTTCCGCAAGTCTGCCCTGCCGCACCGGTCGTTCAGCGACCAAAGTCCACAACACCGGAGCCCCGGCCGTTCAAGGGGCGCCGCTGACGGGCGGCGTCCACAGATAAAGAAGTGGTGCGGTGGAGTCGAGCGATGACTCTCAACGCATGACTCAGCCTGGCGACAATAGCCTGTCACCCCTAATTCCAGATGAACAGCGTTTGTCAGCCAATGGGAGCGCCATCCATTACGGGCGGCTGCCAGACGCGCAATCTGTGTCAAGTGTCAATGATCACGGACGCGCGTCTACAGCAGACGACAGAGCGACCAGGCAACGCAGTCACACACAGGAGCCACAGACACGACAGTCATACATACACGAGCCACAGACACAGGAGCCACACACACGGCAGTCACACGCAGAAGCCAAACACACGACAGTCACAGACCGGAGCTACACGCACGTCAGCGACACACAGGAGCCACAAACACAGGAGCCACACACACGACAGTCACATACAGGAGCCACAGACACAGGAGCCAAACACACAACAGTCACATACAGGACACCGGAGCCGCGGACACGCCCAAGAGTCGGCCGGCCGCTGCCGGGGAGGCGCTAATGGCGGGGGTCGGCCGGGCGGTGCGGCGCCAGATGAAAGGGCGACTGTCCCAATGTCAGACACGTCCGGGCACAGATGAAAGCTGGACCGAGCACCCTCCCCGGAGACCACCGCTGGATGGCCAGGCAGATCTGAGGGGAGCGAGACAGGCGGAGCCGCGCTGCACATCCCAACCAGACGAGATCGCGCCACGGTGAGCTTCCGAGGCAGCTGCGCGTCTGACGCTAACCACCACACACGCCACGAGCGCGTGCCAGGAGGCGGCGGGCAGACGGCCACCCGCGGTCCCGGCGCGGGGTCGGGGCTCCGCCAGCCGCCGTCGGCGGGCCCCGTGCCGACTCACATGCTCGATGTCGTCCCAGGCCGGACTAGCCGGGCTGACGACGGCCTCCAGGTCGCGCGCCATGCGTCGCAGGCGGCCTAGCCGCCGCTCGCGCTCGCTCAGGTCATCCGAGCAGGCGCTGTCGTAGCCCGAGGTGCCCTCCGAGAGGTCGTCGGCGGCCGCCGCCAGCTGCTCGGCCAGCTGCTCAGCGCTCTGCCGGGTCAGAGGAGTCTGTCAGTGGTTGGGCGAACGGGGCGGCGCTCCGCTGGGTCAGCGGTAGGGCGGACAGAGCGGGCGGCGGACGGGGCAGCGCGCAAACATCCGTCTGTTCATGCAGCCACAGCCGGCTGTACGGACGGCTCTGACACGGCGAGCTGGCCAGGGGTCGGCGGCGGGGTTAACTTGTTTACAGCGGCGGTCAGTGCCGATTGGAGGCGGCTAATGCAGCTGACGTCAGCCGGACGTGTATGGACGAGCCGGCGATGTCACGACCTCGACCCCCGGGCCCAGACGCGGCCCGTGCGCCGGCCGACGCGCCCCGGCCACCACCCGGTCCGTGGGACCACCGGCACACACCCGCTGCAGCCCGCTAAACAAGACCGGAACTGGAGCCGCACACTACACTGTCACTACGCTGTACACTGCACTGGAGCCGCACGCTACACTCTACACCCTGTCGAAAAGGCCGCCGTCTCTGCTGGCGCCTAGTGGGCTGGCTTCCGTGCTTTGCCGTCCCCTGTGTGCGCTGCGTGGCAGTGCTACCGCTCTCGCTGGTGCGTGTGGCCCCAGGTTAATAGCCCACTCCGCCGCTGATTTTATTGGCTCATTGGGACGACGCCAGCAGGGTGTTGCCGAAGAATTTACAGCCACGGCCCGGGCGCATTGTGTGCGCTTTTCCAATGAATATCCGGGACCGCAGCGGCCTGTAACGATCGACGACGGGTGCGATTCCATCGCGGCCTCACCAGTAGCCGCTGGTCGCACCGCCCCCCAGCGCTCGGCGCGCCACCGCACGCCACCTTTTTACGGCGCGCGCTTTTCAATTACCAATTCAAATGGGGTGAGTGCGTCTGGTTTTACGGTGACCGGAGGAGGTAGCGGCGGCGGCGGCGGCGGCGGCGGCAGGGGTGCTGTCCGCCCCGCGGGCCGGCGCACGGGTGCCTGCAGACGCTGTCCCACGGTTACACTCGGGCCGCCCGTCAGCCTCATCAAAACAAATACCCGCTCCCAGCCGGGATAATTCCGGCGATAAATCCCGGCGCTACCGCCGGCTGCAGTCGCCGTGCTAAGCGGGCCCGACAGGCCAACGGGCAGCATTTAGCACCGGCCGCGCCGCCGCCACCGCCGCCACGCGCGCCCCCCGCCGTCGCGCGACAGCCGAGACTTCTTGTCGGATCGGCAATCAATAACCTCGGGATCCGCAATACCAAACAATGCGCCTATTTTGACGTATGTCCAACTCGAACTTGTTTGCAAAGACGGATTACCATAATTTTTGCGGGCTAAAAAGGAGTCGGCCGCGCGGAGGCGACGCTGGTGACGCCAGAGCGTACATCACACGCTGCACCGGCCCGTGTGCGCGACACCAAACAATTTCTTACCGGCATTCTTGCGCTAGGCCTCCTCTGATCGCGCCATAAATAACCAATCTATAAATTCATTAACCCTGAGCTTGGTCATCCGGCTGTGAATGCGAACCGACGGCGTAAAAACGGCCGACCGTCGGCCATAGATCACCAGCGGACAGCGGCGAATGCGCCGAGTGCCAACAACTGGACCGGCCGGCCGTCGGCGCCGCTCGACCGCGCACGATTTACGGACCGCGTGATTTAGGGCCGCCGCCGCCAGGCCAGCCCAGCTCGCGCGCCGCCGCCGTCGGGATCCATGGCTTGCTAATGAACCGCCGCGGCGGCGCGCTAAATCACGGCGCGTCGTCTCGCCGGCGGCCGGTCGGCTCGGGCTTCGGGCGTTACTCACGCTCGGCGCGGGGGTTCCGGGCGGCAAACAAATACGACGGGCGGCCGCGGTGTCCGCGGCGTCGGCCGCGCGGCGGTGGTCTCACCATTCAAAACGGTTACTTACGGCGCGCGGCCGACGGCGGGGGCACGGCGCACGCGAAACACTGTCTCGCAAATCGGTCGGCGGCGACAGTGTGGCCGGGCGACGCGGCCGAGCCCGGGTGGGCCGCTGTTTATGGTCGACAGGAGGCAGGCCAGCCGCCGCCGTCGCGTCACCGCGCGACGGCCGCCGCTGAGTTATAGCCGGCGCGCGTGCCGGCGGCGCCGGCGCCGGGCCCGGCGGAGAGCGGCTCCGCCTTACCCAGCCGTGCAGGAAGGGCACGACCGGCGGCCGCGGCCGGGCAGTGTCGGGGGACAGGAGTGGTGCTGCCCGGCCGCCCAGCGCAGTGGCACTGCCCGCCGCCTGGCCGCGTACAGCGACCATGAGACGCATCTCTCGGACCGCTCTGATCTCATCCAGTCATTCCGTGCCGCTCTGATCCCATCCAGTCATTCTGTGCCGCTCTGGTGTGCAAACGCGGCGTCCACAGTCGTGACGCTGGGGCCTGCTCCGCCGCGCCTGCCGACTGAGACTGACCTGGGCGCCGGCGCCGGCGGCCGTGTCCCGCTGTCGGCAGCGGTCGGTCAGCACGCGAGCCACGTCTTGCACCCGGCTGCCGACGTCACCGCCGGTCAGCAGCGCCTCCCGCAGCAGGCCCAGCTTCTGTTTGTCGGCCTGCAGCACGGCGGCCAGCTCGGCACGCGCCGCCCGGAAGGCGTGCCACGTGGCCTCCAGCGCCGTCAACTGCTCCAACTGGGCGCGGCTCCTGCGGCAGTAGCGGTTGGACAGCGGGTCAGACGGCGGGTCAGACAGCGAGTCAGGCAACGATTCATGCAGCGGGTCAGAGGGTGGATCAGACGGTGGTTCGCACAGAGGATCAGACAGCGAGTCAGACAGCGAGTCAGATGGCCAGTCAGACAGCGGGTCAGACAGCGGGTCAGACGGCGGTCAGGCAGCGGGCCACACAGAAGGCAGCCCGGTCTCAGGCGGGACGCCAGTAGAAGGACCACAGCGGGAGGTAATCCATTGTGATCACGACGCCGGTCAGTACGGCCAGGCCGCCACCGGGCGTGGTCACGAGGTGCGGATGAGGATGGGTCGGCCAGCGGCGGCGGTGACGAAGCCAGCAGCCCGGCCAGCGCGGTGACGGGCAGCGCCGACGCTGTCGATCCGCGCATCGGCCGCTCGCTCATCTGTCGCCGCTGACCGCGCCCGCTGCATTAACCATGAGCGGACAGGACGAGGGACGCCGCTCGAGGCTGCCGGCAGGACAAGAAGCGCGCGCCGGCCGTGCGCATGCACACGCGATACATCGGCGCCTTTTTGTCGCCGATCCTGGCCGGAAAAAGACGCCGTAAACGTGTCGCCGACGGGAATGACAGGAGGCTATGGGGCGCCGGGCCCGATTTACGAGCGGCGGTGGAGGAGCGCCAGCCCGGTCCTGCCCGGCGGCCGGCCCACACCCGAGCGGCACTTAACGCTGATAACAGCTAATGACAACGAGAGCGTAATAACAGTTATACACCATTAGCCCTTTGGCGGAGGCACATCAGGGTACCAGCCGGGGCTTTTACATTAATTATCCGGATGCATTCAGTCGTGTCGTTTTTATTTCGGTTTGGAGAAGGCCGGCTGGGTCCCGGGAGAAGGAGACACCGACTCCGGCCCCAATGGCCCGACCACTGGGTCGCCTTTCGACGAAATGGACGGCGGGCGGCGGCCGAAGGACGACGCGGAGGGGTCTGTTGTCGATGGCCGGCGTCGCGCAGGTATCTAAACAAGGCCCCTCACAGCGCCGGCCCCTCCCCACAAAGGCGCTAAATCAGTCGGGCGGCGGCTGGGGTCGCGACGCTATATAGGTTAGTTGTGCGCAGCGTCCCCGGGCAAAACGCCGCCTCTGTGGCGCCGCGTCGTAAATAAGGCGCCGGACACGGCCGCCGCTGCCGAGCGCGACGATCGCGCGGTAAAAACCGCTCGCGTCTCTCCGGCGGACGCGCGCGCGCGCGCGCAAAAAGGTGTCGGATCGCTGCGGCGAGCGGCGCGGCGAGCTGCGCACGGTAGCGCGGCGAGCGGCGGCGCAGCAGCCGGCCCGGCGCCCGGCCACTCATTACCGGCCGCAATTAACTCGGCACATTGTTTCGCGAATCCCGAGTCACGCCGGCCGATGATACGGCCCCGACAAATTGATAGGCGGTGCGTGGGGATAGGGCCTGTTAGCCGGTCGGCCGGCCGAGGCTGGGGCGCCGACCCCGCCCCAGATGGCGGGTCGGACCGGCGCAGATCACACCCGGCAGCCGTCCTCGCACCGCCGCGCCGAGATCGTTTTCCGAAAAGTTACATTGCACATTTTTGCTGTGATGGCCGGCCGCCGCCTATGTGCCGCGTCACTGCGACGCAATCATCCCCTGGCGGCGAAAAAATTAACCACTTGTGCAAGCGGTCAAACTAAATAAACAAATGAAGGCTCCTGTCGAGCGGCGGCGGCGGGGGCGCTTTGTCAGCAGCAACGGCCAATTACGCCGGCCACGGCCCGGCCCGGCAATCGATGTCTGATATAGGCGGCTCGGCGCGCCACGAGCGCCGCCAGATGGCCAGCTGCGCCACATAGCCGCCGGCCCGCCGCCAGCGCGCGCAATCTTTTGAATAAATCCAATTTTTGGCCGGCGCGTCTGAGCCAGCGTCCCTCAGGCGAGATAAATTCAAGTGCCAATCATTTCACGGCATTAATACTTCCGACACTCTCATAAGGACCCTCAGCACGCGCCACCGCTCGCGAGCAAATAAGTCGCCCGGCGCGCCAAAATATGAGATTTCGCGCCATATTTCACCAATCGGCGGCCGGGAGTCGAGAAGCAAACGGATCAGACGACCAGAAAACAAACATTAGTCAGAGGCGATATTGGATTTAACGGCGACAACTCCCCACCACGGCATTAGGGTCGCACCAAATCGAAACCGCGCCGCCGCCGCCGGCCGACTCTAAGCGCCGGCACTTTGTCATATTAATCGACACGGAACCGATGAGAAGTGAGGGGCGGCGCCGCCCCGCTTGACGCCGCACGCCCTCCCCCCCCCCCCCCCCGTCGGGTCCTGCCGAGAGGGTTGAGTCAGCGTCACCGTCGCCGGAGCCGCCCGAGGGCAGGCTGCGGCCGGCGCCGCGGGGGGTGCGGGGAGTACCGTTGGAACGGCGGCCAGCCGTCGTGTTCAGGTCACCGCCGCCTTCAGCCCACGGCGGTGACGGCGCCCAAACACCCTGCAGCGCGTGCGCGCTGTGCCGACGGCGGCCCACCAGGCCGGCCCGGCTCACTCACCGGTGGTTGACCTCGTCCCAGATCCTGTACAGGGTGGCAATGTCGTCCTTCAGCGAGGGGTCGCCGCCGCCGCCGGTCACGTGCCCGTGCACGTCCGTGTTGATGGTGACCAGCTCCCGGCGCCGATCGGCCAGCTCTTCCTGCAGCGCCTGGCGACACGGGTCGGGTCACGTCCCAGACCAGGGGTCGGCGGTCAGGTCACGGCCAGCACACCGCCAACGACCGGCAGAGTCATGTCACCGCTTGCTGGGGTCAAGAGGAGCATACTTTGCTGGTGTCTCGGGAACATGATGGGGACACAAATAGCCGCGTGGCGCGGAGGAGGCGAACAACAGGGATGCGTCTCAGATCATGCAGGCCAGGTGTCCCACTCGGGACACCGGCACGGCTGAGGAGTGGCATCTACAGCACATTCTGCAATAGGTACACGTCTCCGAACTACACAACATTAGAGCCGCGAGGATTTACTCCTTATCGCCGACGGAAGAATCAGAGGCAAAAACCGTCCGACATTTCGTAAAACGCTAATGACTAATTTCAGATCACGTGCGGCCTTCCGTTGTCAGCCAGCTCCATCTGAGCGGCACGGCTGGGACATTAGGCTTTCCTTTTTGGAGTCGGCGGGTCGGCGGGCGGGATCGGCGGCGCCGCTGAGGGGTCACGGTCCGGCCGTCGAGAGAGAGGGAGGTCGCTGACGGCGGGCCCGGCCCGGTCCGGTCGGCTCCGGTGCCGCCGGACGCGCCGCCACGCGCCGGGGGCCCGGCCGAGCCGAGCCGGACCGCCCGGCACCGCGTATGGAAATCCGGCCCCACTCGATATCATAATCGGTGGGAGCGGCGCATTGAGCGCGTCCGTGCACCGGCGCTGGCCGGCGCGCCAGACACCGGGCTGCGCCCACCTGAGACAAAGGTGGCGCGCTAATCCGCCAATACGCGACGCCGGCCGGCGCGCGATTTATCGGCGCGGCCGGCCGATGGCGCGGCACCTCCGCGCTGCGCGCCGTATTTTTACAGATGGAACAAGACAGCCCCGGGGAGGCCAGTTTGTAAACGGAGAACAGCCATTTGCATATGGTAATGGTACAGTGGAAACGGGTCGAGAGCGAGCCCGATCACACGGCGCCAGCGGGGGGGGGGGGAAGATGCTTCCAGGAGAGGTGAGGGGGGGGGGGGGGCACCGCCGCCCTTCCCACCGGCCTGCCCGCAGGGCTTGGTGTGGCGATACGGCCTCACGGCACCACCAAAAACCTTTTATGTCATAAACCGGGCGGCAGCGGTCAGTCATCCATCAGGGCTGGCCATCAAAGTCAGCCAGTGGACATAAGCCACCGGCGTACCCGGCATATCTCGGCCCGCTTACCCGGGCAAAAACACAGAAAGCCAATCGGGATCAATCACGACCGGGAAAAAGTCGCCCGGTGTCCGTCGATATCGACCGATAGGACGGCGAAAAAGCGGGCGGCGGCCGGCGCGGCGGCCATGCCGTGCCCGCTCCGGCCGCTCAGCCCGCTTCGTCGGCCCGGTATTTCACCTGTCGGCGGCCGGTCGGTCGGCTCACAGGCGGCGCGCCGACCTTTTTGCCGGCGGCCGTAATAATTTCTTACGCGTCGTCTGCGCGCCGGACGTAAATCATCGGTCAGCGGGCCGGCGCGTCTGTCGAGGGCGCGCGCCTCCCGCGGGAGCGGCGCGCGCCCGCCGCGCCCCGGCCCCGCTAATACCCAATCTGGCGCGCCGGCCCATTAGACGGGCTTGTTCACCGCGCGCCCCGCCGCACCGGCTAATCCGTAAAATACGGCGCGCCGCCGTCCGATCGATGGCCGGCTGATTTTCACACACGGCGAGGTGTCACACTGTCGCCGCGCTCGCTCCCGTAATCCGCGCACAAAAGCCCGATCCGACCCACCGTCATAAATTCATAGCGCACGGGGCGCGGCAAAAACCGCGCCAACGGCCGACGGTGCTGACCCGCCGACGGCGAGACGATAGAATGAGAGGGGGGAGGGGGGGGGGGCAACAGCCGCCCGGGTCTTGCACCGCCGGCGGACAGAGAAGATGGAGGAGGAGGGGTCACAGACTGCACCAGAGGACACTGGGAGCTGACCCCCGACGGACAGACACAGTGAAGAGGAAGAGGGCGCTCACGCGTCTCAGACACGAGCGGGGTCCACATCCCGACACGTGCCAGCCACCGACAGTCCGTCGCTGGCCCGTCCGCCGGCGGCACGTCTCAGTTCGACTGGTTTCGCTATCGCCCGTCTGATATGATTCCGGCTGCGCCCAGATCTCGCCGGCCGGCAGCCGCGGCCCACTCCGCAGTCCACCTGTCCGGTAGCCGACAAATTGACCCGGTATCTGGCCGCTAATGGCCCCGGCTCCATTGGTCCTGCTGCCAGCCCCTCCCGGGCGGCCGTCCCCACCCCGCTCGGGCGTGCGGCGGCGTTTTTGTTCGGAGTGGGCACACACGCGCCGCGCCACCCCTTTGTCGGCGGCGCCGGTTTTTTGCTGATGCCGCGGGGTCGGGCCGCCGTCGCGGCCGGCCAAGAGACACCCCGGGGCTGCAGCCGGCCGCCGCATGATACCGATTAAACGGTAATCGAGCGCGGCATTTATCTTCCTGCCGCGCCGATATTGTCAATTGGGTGGCGGCGCGCGGAGGAGGCCGCCGCACGCTCGTCCATCGCCGCCGCCGCCGACCACAATCTAATTACAGAGACGTGACGGCCGCTCCCGATACGTTACGGGACGGCCGGGGCGGCCCGCAAGGTGACGGACGGCCCCAGCCGGCCAGGCGGACAGCCAGCGGCGGCCCGGCGGCCGGCCGACGAGCCTGCCGCGAGGGCTCCTTGCCAGGCTCCGCCTGACCTGACCAGTCTGCCGCGGGGTCTCCCCACCAGGCTCCGCCTGGCCTGACCAGTCCGCCGCGGGGGCCCCATCAGGCCGCACCTGATCTGACGAGCCTGCCGCGGGGGCTCCCCACCAGGCCACCTGATCTGACTAGTCTGCCGCAGGGGCTCCCCACCAGGCCCACCTGACCTGACGAGCTTGCCGCGGGGACTCCTCGCCAGGTTCTGCCTGACCTGACCAGTCTGCCGCGCCCCCCCCCCCCCCTCCACCAGGTCCCATCTGATCTGACGAGCCAGCCGCGGGGTTTCCTCACCAGGCCCACATGATTTCGGTCCGTTCCAGACCAAATATTTTTGCAAAAAGGAGTATACCAAACAGATCTAAATTAACATCAAATGCTATATCCATGACCCCACATCTTCTCCAGCTAAGGTCTATGCCAGTAAAAAAGAAAGAATTGACAATAACCAGTAACACAATGTCAAAAACACCATTAAATGCAATGGCATGCTTCAGGCCTACCACAACAATTGATTCAAATGTTGTACATTCGCTCTTAATTGTTGATGCAAAAATTACAGGGCTTATTGAAAAAGCAGCAAAAATATGCAGGCAAAGCCAAATTACAAACAGGACTAACACGGCAGGCTACAAGAAAACCGGCTGGGCATTTGACCAACTTGACTCAACCCCCCCCCCCCCCCTCCTCCATCTCTGCGGGGTCTGACTGACCTGACTCAGACCCTCCCGTCCCCGCGGGTCTGGCTGACATGACATGACCTGACCCAGACCCTCCCGTCCCCGCGGGTCTGGCTGACCTGACGTGACCTGACCCAGACCCTCCCGTCTCCGCGGGGTCTGCATGACCTAGCCGGCGGCCAGTTGTCGCCGTTTGGACCGCCGGCCGACCGGCCTACCCCACCGTCTTTCTCCCTCCGCGGGCCGCTGTTTTCGCCTCGGGTAATGCGCGGATAAGGGAGGCGGCCATCAGTATGCCGGCCGCCACGCACGTCTACGAACTCCGCCGCCGCCCGCCACGCCCGCGCCGAATCCTAATTTCGCACAATGCCGGCCGAAAAACAGCCAGGCGCTCGGCCGGCGTCCTGGCGAAAAATACGACCCGGAGGCGGCGTGCGGCAGCCGGGCAGGTCGGAGAGGCGGATCAGCGGCGGACAGATCAGAGGTGGGACAGCAGCCAGGCAGGGTGACAAGATACGGCAGCCAATCGCGGTGTGATGATCCCAACAGCGGGGCAGTGTAGAGAGGCGACAACGCCCCAGCAAGAGACAAAGGTCTACGCAGTCATATTATCATTCATCAGCAGCTTTAAATCGATCCTTCTTGCGCCAGGCTCACCTATTGCATGCCCCGACTTTTCAAGCATTAGTCACACGAGAGGCCCGTGGACTTAGGAATGCGGTCACAGGAAACCTGGCAACAGCATCCGAATTTCGACGAAACCGACCAATATGCGTTACCTCGATTGTCAATAAACGATGTTTTCATGGGTCCAAATACTTGGAACATTTTTTGTTAAGTAACTATTTTCTTATGTAATATTACGTTCCTGAAGCGAGTGTTTCCGGAGCGACAGCCGTATTTCTATAAAAAAAAGAACGGACCAACACTGTCCACGTATAATAGCATGACCATCGCATCCTTCCGCTGATATGAACAACGGCTTGCCGACTCTTTCCGTCCCCAACGCAGTGATTGATGGACTTCTGTCCGAGCGACTGCGGTGCGTCATGTGAACACGGAAGAGGCTCACACTTAACAGCTGTCAGTGTGTACCCGATTTCGTGACGAGGGGGGGGGGGCTGCATGGCATCGCAGGTCGGCGCCGCACAGTCTGGCCGGACGGCTAGCCTCCACTGCCGGCTGCAGCGCGCGCGCCGAAGGTGCGGCCCACCAGGCCTCGGCACCCAGCGCTAATGCACAGCACACGGACCGAAATTCCACAACGCCATGTGGTGGCCAGAAAAAGCGCCGCTACGGATGCCAGCGTCCGAGCACAGGTGCGTCGGCCACGAAAAACGGCCCGACCGCCCCACTCCGGGACAAAATTAATTAGCGTGATCAGATTTCGCATTATCCCGGCCTCCAGGCGCCATTCCTATCGGTGGATCGGTGCCAAACACAAACGGCCGCGCCCGCCCCGTCCTCGAAAAAGGCAGCGATTTTTGTTGGTAAACAGGTCCGGGCAGCTGGTGGCCGCTCTTGACGCCTGAGAACCCCGGCGCACACAATGCCCACTAATCCCTCCTGATATTCCAAAAATATACGAACAAACACTTCCACACTGCGAGGGTTCTGATTGCGCAAAAACTGGGAAATGCGTAAAAATCGCCCCATTCCACCTGTCTGCCGAGCCCCTCTCGTCAATCCTCCAGGCACCAGTAAATTACATCATACACCGAGCTCACTTTGCATATGAATAAACTGCTAAATAATGCCATTTTTATTCTTGAGAGCAGAGAGAAAGGCAGCGCGACCCTTTGATCTCCTGAATACCCAATTCGCATAGCGATGAACGATCACTGCCGCGTCTACGGACATCTGGCGGTCAAACAGGCTACCTTTCATACCAGCACCGCCGCGAGAGGCAGCACGTGTCGCGTCCCGGCCCCCAGATGCGTCTCACGTCTGGCGCGTCCCGTAGCGTGAACAGCGGGAGCTAGCGACGCAGGTGTGACGTCACGGCCCCACCGGAGGATGCCGTCACGTCTACCCTGCGCCCAGCGTGGGTTTAAATGAGCCGCTAGCCGGGAGTTCGCTTGCCAACGGAGCCGTTTGCGTGCAGAACGCCGCGCCGACCGTGGCTCAGCTCATTGACATGCCCCGTGGCGGCAGTAACGGCCACAGAAGCCAGTCACGCGGCCGCCCACGTGCGGCGTTACTCTGGCTGGCCCGCTGCACGACCCCGCCGCGCCGTCAGCACGAGGTGGCCAAACTCCGGCAGCGCCACTACCATCCGGTGACGTCACAGGAAGGTGCCGGGACTCCAGGCCCGACAGCCACACGGTGACGTCACGAGGACGTGCACGACCTGCCGCTTGACCCAGCCAACCACGACGTCCAGGACACGTGTCCACACTCCAGGCCGTGCAACGACCAGACTAAGAAGACGTGCTCCAGCCTCGGACGGCACCCGACCCGGCAGTCCCCGTAGGTACTGACCTCGCTGGGCTTGAGGAGCACGAACCCGTTGAAGCCACAGCGCTCCGAGTGGAGCGGAGGCATAGCAAGCGCTTTACACGGCCGCCAGCATCCGCCGACGGACGGGGTCTATTGCCCAGGACGGTAGCGACGGCTGACTAGGGCCAGCAGGGGAGTCGGTACGCAGTCTCACATCCATCATCTCACATCTACATGCAACTCAGCAGCTCAGTACAGATGAGCGCTGTGCAATACTAAACCATCCCACGCACATTATTACCAATACGCCTGCCACATATGTGCACCTAATGTCCCCTAGAAGACAACCTCAGACGCATGTACGAAGAACCCATCTGAGTTAACGTGGCTGCTAACATGCGCCCGGGTAGGGGGTCAAATTGACCCCCCCCCGAAGGTTTTTCCGGAATGGTTCCGGAACGGTGCGGCGTAACCGCGCCAAATGTTGCGTAGCTGTAGACAATTGAATAGCTAATCATTTGACATCAAAAATTTAGATGTAACTTGTAAGGTCGCTAACCTATGGCAGGTCAGTCAGGCCATGGTTTCAGCGGAGGCAATTTCTAGGGAATCGTTCAATCTGACGAAACATCGGAGCATTTGACGAAGCCACGCATCTCTCAAATTCTTTCTTAGGCAACATAAAATATTGAATGAGCAAATTACGTCGACCTAAGGTCAGATATAAATGTCAGACCAAGATTAAAACGACATTTATTATTATTCGAGGGCTTGCTGTGTGGGAGTTTCTGGTGCTCATTTCGAATTTATAGACAACAAAAATCGTATTATACATCTTCCATTGACTTCTTAGAGGTCAGAATAGGCCTTTGACCTAAGATGACCCAGGGCGATATTTTGTTTTTAGGAACGTACTGCCTAGCGTAATCTTTGTCGCTTAATCAAATGCAACACTCATAGCAGTCTTGCATGATGTTGGTCGCCATGACTTTTAAAAGGTCAGACAAGGTCACTGGCCTTAAATGAGGTCATGACCTTTTACTTAGAAACAGTTATCTAGGTTATGGGAGCACTTTGGAGGCCAACCTGGAATTTAACCTTGTTTGACTTTATTTGACCTGAAGGTCATCCTAGGAAGCTCAAACTTTGGCCTAAGTGGGTTCACGTACAGGTCGACACACCCTGTAAATTTTGTGTCGCTAGCTTTCTTAGTTCCCGAGATCTCAGGGAGGGGGTTCACCCTCCCCCCCACCCGAGCGAAGGGTATCTAGCCGGCCACCCGGGCGCGTGTTAAGCCTTATGAATGGCTGCGCTGGGCGTGGAGAAGACGAAGAAACGATGACCAAAGCCACGCTGAGAGGAGCACAGAGACACGCACATGTCCACCGGTGTGGTTGACAGCTGGCCACCTGCTTTCGTCGCCGCCACATCATCCTCTCCACACCCAGGTCAGTCATGCATCGCCCCCACATCGAGCTTAACAACCGCATTAGAACCAAATACATCGAGATGCCCCACTGCATATTTTTTGACTAGATGATTTGGTCAAATGTAAAATGTAAAATGTAAAATGTCAAACGTCAAATGAAATCAAATACATCGAGATGCCCCACTGCGTATGCATATTTGGGAGGCTTTTCGCCATCTATATAAAACAGAAGTAGGGTATGTAATATAGATGCCAAAAGTAAACAAGACGGAGAAAAACACTTATTGACGGACAGGGACTTTCAAGTCAGCCCCCACAGTTCAGGGACATGACGAAATACACGGGAAGGCTTGAAATGCCTCCTGTTATATTCTAACGATTGTCTTGAACGATAGTGGGGCACCCCGGTCCGGTTCCTTCCACTTCTCTAGACCAATGACACCTGTAGTACCATCGTGGTGCCTCTAAGCGCGCAGCAGGCACTACACGAGTGCTATGAAAAGAGACTTTTCAAGACCCGCACAGACCGCAACATTTTACTGACCCCATCGACACAACTGCTGCTGTGAGAGGTCGTCACGGAAGACGTCAGCAACCTGACATAAACGTAGACCATTAATGTTTAAGGAGCAAAGCCGTGTGTAGCTTAAGGTCTGGATACACCTCCGACGCCAGTGTTACACTTCAGGCGCACCCAAACGTGCTGGACGTGTCCATGCTTCCTAAGCTTTTCAATCAATAACCCCATGCATTGTTAACGGTTTCCTGTCCCAGTAATTGGATGGCGCTCAAGCCCTCCTGACAGGCCAAAGTGTCCTTAACACCAGATGGAATTGGAATCGACCATGGGATCAGCCAAATTTTCATTTAGCCAACCCCTGGCCGATCCGGCTACTCCTTGGCGTTTGCACACCCAGCAACCATCATCCAAGACCTCCACAAGCAGCGCAGTCGGCATCGCCGCGCCACCTAGCGACAACGGGATCAACTAACGGTTCTGGGCGACTCACCTTGACGGCGCTGATGCGCGCCTGCAGGTCGTCGTCGCTGGCTACTTTAGCCATGGCGTGATTGGTGCGCTCGTCCAGGTCGGCGAGCGCGAGCCGGAAGGTGCGGATGCGTTCGCGCAAGCCGCCAAGCGCGTCCGCACTGTGCTGGCGCTCCATGGCAGCCGTCCGCAGCGCCTCCCACCTCTGGATCACAGCTGGCGACAGAGGGCGGCGTTGACAGATCCGGGGCGGCGCCGGCACGGCCCGCCACGGCAGATGGAAATCCTATGCTGATTGGCAGCCGAGCTGCCACGCACATCGGCGACCCGGAAAAACAGCCGGCGGGCGCGCATTCCAGATACAAAGGCGGGTGGGGAATGTCCGGACTCCGGCATAAATCAGCGGCGGCGGGAGCGAGCTGTTACCGTCTGACGGCGCGATAATTGCCAGCATATGGGTACACGGCGCTCATGAACAACAGCGACGAGGTCTCCCAGCCACAGACGAGGAACGAGGGCTTGGGTGCAGTGATGGAACTTGCAGACGCGCAAATTGCCAGAGGCCTTGCGCAGCGACCTCTGCACAGTGTAAGATGAAGTCGAGTCTCAAACAGGCGAAATACAGCTCGGACTCGACTGGAGAACGACCAGCTCCCAGACGACGGCAGGCACCATCGGCGGGCCGCGTCGCGTGCAGGACCGGCGCCGAGGACGAGCGAGCGCCGGCAGACCGCCAGACCCCCGTCTGGCGGCGCGCGGGGTTACATGGCGGCCGAGTGACGGATGACACACTTTGCCGCCGGCGCTCCATCGCGCGCCACCAGGCGGCCCACACACCGGACCGCACCGACGTGACGGACGGCGCACTCAGCGCGTGACGGTAACGGTGCGCCGGCGTCCCAGCCGCACCATCAGCCGTCGACTAAACATCCTCCGACGGAGCGGCGCCGCTCGGCCACCAAACATCCCCGCACAAAATTAGCTGGCGGCGGCCGGCGCGGCGGGGGTTGGGACCACGCCCGAGGGGCGGACGGTGGGCCCGACCGGGCGTCGCGTCAGTGTCGCGTCGGATCTCGGCCGGGCGCTGGGCAAATCGGAGCGGGCCACGGACGGACAGGTGGGCTGATTGACAGGCAGAGGAGCGACAGGAGCGCCAGTTCGTGGCCAGCGACGGCCACGGCTTGATCGGATGGCGTGACCTGTGCCAGATAAGCCCAAGTCTCGGTAATGACACTCCGGTGGACCGCACCGAGCGCTGGCATTGTGCCAACCGGGCGAGGTCTCCGCGGACACGATGGCAGCCAGCTGTTGTGCCTTTTGCTGTTGTGTCTCTGATTACCATTGGTCGATGAACGCGACGGTGGAAAGCGGCCCCACGGTCGCCAGCTCAGATCCGGCCCGCGGACCGCAGCTCAAACCGGAGGCGGAAACTGCAGCCTTTTGAAGCAAAATATAAAGCTACCACCGGGCTGAGAGCTCAGGATCGTCGCGCTCATCCGCACACGAAAGCGCCAGGCCGGGGGGACGGAGGGGGAGAGGGGGAACAGGGGGACGGGTGACACAAAACAACAGACAACGGGTCGGCGCCGCGGCTCGGCGATCGATCGCAGCTCCCCTCCGGACCGATCGGGCACGCGAGCGTGACGCCCAGGCGGGCCGCGTCGCGTCGCGCGCCGCCCCACACGGCCCCGGTGGCGCCCGCCGGCCGCTGCCCCAGATGAGCTATCTCTGTCAGCATCTGCGGCACGGGTCGCGGAGCATGCCGACGAGCCGGTACAGACCGGGGCCGCACCCGAGACACAGCGTCCCGACGGACTCGGCTCCGGTCAGAGCCACGCCGCACCCGACGGACTCGGCTCCGGTGCCCCCCGCCAGTCAGGCCGCACCCGAGACACAGCAGCCCGACGGACTCGACTGCGGTGCTCCCAGCCAGTCAGGCCACACCCGAGACACAGCAGCCCCACGGACTCGGCTGGCAGTTGCGTGCTAGACAAACATAAAGCAATACTTTGTGGCCCTGAGCCCGGGACGTCGGTGTTCTTCACTACCTGTGGACTAGTTCTACTACGCACTGCTGTTCACTGAATACGATGACAAGGATAAAACAGCGCCGTAGAACGGACTCATCCAGGGAGAATCACCGAAGTCATTGCCCCTGGGCCAAGAATAAACGGACGTTTCTTCCTCTTTGATCACGGCTTTTGGGTAAACTGATGCGCCAACCTAGCCTGATCCTGGACGCATCCTTGTTGGTTGAAATGACGATCACATAACCCAGTCTCTCGCAGAGCCAATCCGGCCGGCTAAGAGCCCCGCATGCTTAAGATCTCAGGTCAACATTTTCAAGGTCAGAGCCGAAGAATTCCTTAACACAAAGCACAAGAAATGCCACATGAAGTCGACATGATACTTGCAATGAGATGTCGTCTTCGCAAAACGGCAGGCAGCGGGCAGGCCGAACTCCATCGGCCCGGTGCCGCACCACGTGACATTGAAGCCGCCTGCTCCAATGTCCCCCAAAGCCCGACCCCAGCCGTGGGACGGGCCCAGGCACAGCAGATGGCAGAACTCAGAGATCACCAGGCGTCAGTTGATAGCACGATCCGACAGCAAAACTGGACGTCTTAACAATAGCACGGGGTTCCATTTCCCGTGCGTGTTCACATCTTCTCGCAGCCCGTACCGTCAGCAGACGCAGATGCGGGAAGTTCCACCAGACGACGCTCTCTCCAGGGATGGGCTACGTTAAAGGCAGCGGCGGCGGGCAGAGCAGAGCCCGTTCCCCCGCAACAGGCTCTGGGCACCACGCGGAATTCTCAGTGACCATGAAACTCAGCAACCCTTTGAGAAGTCCGATCCACGAGCCAGGTCGCCAGAGGACGTGGTCAGAAGACGGCACTGGTGTCCCCGCTCACAGTGAGGCACGCAGTAATGGACCAGCGACGAACCTAATGGAGAAGAGAAAGTTCCGGAGCTCACGGAAAAGTGCCGACAATCGATTCCATTACGAAGCCTGATGAGTGTACGGCAAGGTAGGCCGCGCCGGCTCCAGGTGCGGGGACTGCGTTCTGAGTTGGGGCACGGCCGGCCGTGCTGGTCACGCTGGCACCACAGGAGTCGACCGTAACTCACTCTGTGTCAGCGCCGGCCCAACGACCGGGCTGAGGTCAACAGTGTTGGTCAGTGTGCGCTCCGTTCTCTCCACCATCCTCGAGTCTTCGAACACCTCCACCACGTCCTTCACCTCGACGACGACACGGTCTGGCGGCGGTGCGTCCGCCGCCGGGCCCAGACCGCTGCCGGTGCGGTCCGGCCGCTCGGTCCGCGCCGCCCCGGTCCGCCGTCCCGCACCAGTCCGGTCCGACGCCGACGCCGCCGCGCTCCCTGTCCTGGAGGCATCCTCTGCCGGTCTGCTGTCAGGTGCGCCGCGCCGTCGTCGGGCGTCCGCCGCCCGCTGCGCGCTGGTGCGTCTCTCCTCCCACTCCTCGACGATGGTCAGGCCGGGCACCACGGCGCGGCCGCGCTCGACGCCGCCCCGGCTTCCGCCGTCACCGGCCTCCGCACACGACCGGCCGGCGGCGCCGACCCTGTCGGCCAGCTCCGCCGTGCGCCGCAGCTCGGCTGAGGTCGGCCGGTGGGCGGCCGTGTGCTCCGGGCCCATGGTGGTGCCCGTGACGCACATGCAGGCGGCGCGGCCGCGGACGCCGCACTGGGCGCCGTTCTCGCCGGCGGCGATCGATACGCCGTCCGCGGCGCTGGCCGGGCGGGTCACACCGGGCCGACCTCGGCCGTCACTCAGCGCCGCTCCAGACACCACCCGAGTCGCGTGCGGCCGCACGTGCCCACCACTCGGCTTTCGCGCCGTGCGCGTGCGTCCGCTGCCGCCGCGCGTCAGGCGAGCCGACCGGCGACTGGCGGCGGCGGCGGCGGCGGCGGCGGACCCCGCACGCGCAGGCCGGGGCGGGGCCGCACCTCGGTCCGACCCGGCCGCCGCCGCCGCCGCCGCTGCTGCCCCTGCACGGCGGAGGGGAGATGCGTCGCTTCGGACAGTGAGCGGTCCATAGGGCGGAGAGTGGAGCGTGACGCCAGAGAAGGGACGGAGCGACACCAGAGCGGCACAGGCCGTGCCGGCGAGCCGGCACGCCACAGGGCAGTGTGTCCACTGATCAGACAGTGTTGATTGTGCCCGCCAGCGAGTGGACATTACCCGGATGATGGCTGTGACGCCTCCGCTGCTGGTCAGCTGGACACCAGCAGCGGCGCCCGGCGCGTGGCTCGCGGTCAGCCCGCCCCAGCGGGGGTGACCGCGCGCCGCCCACGACGGGCGCTGCGCTCATGACGACGGATCGTCTGACAATCGTGACGGACCCGTGGCCATCCCACGCAGGCCTGCAGTGGTGGGGTGCGCTTCAGTGAGGGACCCCAGTCGCTCGGAGTGCCAGGCTGGCACCCGCGCGGCTCCATTGTCTGCCCTAGTGACGTCACTAGTCCATTAGCCGCCGCTGACTGCCGGGAAAGGAGCGGCTGCGGTTACTTTGTCGGCTGCGCGTGTCGGTCCCGTCCCCTGCCCGGCCGCGGCGGGCCGCCGCGTGCTGAGGGGTGCGAGCTCAGCCAACACCTCTCCCTAAGCGTGACGCGGCATAACCGGACACGAAAGAAGGAGCCGACGGCGGCAACATAACACGCCGACGCCGGCTCGCTGACACGACCAGCAGGGCAAACACGGCCGGCGTAGTCTGCCGCTGCGGCTGCTGCTGGAACAGTATGAATCACCTGCACTGGCCGAGTCCGAGTCACCGAACGTCATACTCGCTCCCGGGATCTGAACCGCCGAAACAGAGGCGTCGTCATCCCCTGTGATGTCGTCATCAGATGCGTGGGATGTCGTCATCAGATGCGTGGTTGGCGCGGCAGTTACAACCGTCTGAACGGCGCCGGACCGGAGCGATGCACGGTGGAGACTGACGAAAAGCGTCTCGCGGGCGCCAGCGCAGGGCCGTCGTCACGCGGCGCGTGGCCCGTATCGTCGCACACGTCAGCCGCCGCGCCGACGTGCGAGTACGGGACGGCGCAGCTTCTGTTCCGGATATGTTGGCCGGCGCCCGCAGCGTGAACGACACAGACCAGCCGACCGCCCCGCCCGGGAGAGACCGGCCACGCGTGAAAAACAGCTCACCAAACAGGCCGCATCGAAGGAAACGAACGGCGCGAACACGAGCCGAGAACAGCTGGTCGCCGATCGGCGCGCGGAACGGAAACTGGGCCACGGCAGAGAACAGGCGGGAGTGCTGCTGGCACTGCCGGCCGGGCACCGTCGGACGCGGCGTGGACGATCCGAAGTCTTATCACCTCCTCCATCGCTCAACAACACGTTCCGCTACATAGCTGGAGACCTCTCGAGATAGCGTCCGATCACCGCGTATCGACACATCGACAGCATCGGGGAACCATTTGCTAGCCGACGGCCGGGCACCGATCACTCCACTTATGCGGCGGACGGCTCGCTGGCACCGCGGCGGCCTGGCCGGCTTACCTGCCACGTCGGCGACTTCTGGCTTGTAGCAGGGCGAGGCGGGGTCGGCGCCCAGACCGAGCGGATCTACCAGGGTCCGCACCTGCTCCAGCCGGTTCAGCTCCGAGCGACAGGTGGCCACGATACTCGACTGCGGGGTGAGCGGGGTTCGGTCAGCGCCTCACACGCGTCATCGCAGCAGGCGGAGGGCTAGAATACCCGACCGGAGGGGGGCGGAGTGCGGCCCGCAGAGCACAGTACGCAACAACATCACACAGGCCTGGCTGGACAGACGCGGGTCGGGCCGGTTCGCCAAGACCAGAGCCAGGGTACCCGATTGAGGTAAACGGGGTTCGGTCAGTACCCACACACAGCGTCAGTTGGAGGGCGAGGGTACCCAATTGTGAGATAAACGGGTTCGGTCAGTACCAACACACAGCATTAGCTGGAGGGCCAGGGTACCCAATTGTGAGGTAAGTGGGGTTCGGTCAGTATCCACACACAGCGTCAGCTGGAGGGCCAGGGTACCCAACTGTGAGATAAACGGGGTTCGGTCAGTGCCCACACAAGGCATCGCAGCAGGCGGAGAGCTAAGATACCCGACTGTGAGGTAAACGGGGTTCGATCAGTACCCCACACACGACATCGCAGCAGGCGGAGGGTACCGGGCCGGGGGGGAGACGGTCCGCAGAGCACAGCACGCAAACAACACCGCACAGGCTTGACTAGACGCGGGCCGGGCCGGCTCGCCAAGACACGCCAACATCCGGGCATCACTTGGCACCAGGCCACGCGGCCACCAAAGGAGCGCCGCTACATAAACAAGACGACATGTCTTAACGGGTGGCATGCAAAAGTGTGCGAAAGTGCAAGCTTTTGGGAGAGCACGACACCTCTAGCGGTTGATTTCAGGTTCCGAGTTTTAAAAAAATAGTTTTGTGATTTTGGCGCTCATTCAAAGGTAGACGGCGCTTGCCGCTGACTTCGGCCAGCTTTGGGGCTTCGGCAATGCCCGTTTGGTCTCTATAGCACCCTTGGCTGACGGTCTCCACCCTTGGCTGACGCATTTTCGGCACGCTAGAAGGCAATTAGTGGAAATCAATCCGACGAAGTTATACACGCACAAGAGCATTATAGATCGAAGGCGGAAACGATGAAAAACAATTAGTTAATTACGGAATAATGCGTACTCAATTATCCCAGGAATGCTAATTACTAAAGTCGCTAAACACTGTCCTCAAGCAACGCAGGTTGTTTTGAACAGCCTGGGACAGCTGGCATTCATCCACGCCTGCTGCGGGCGAAACTACGTCCACTAGATCTGAATGGAATTTGCAATTCAAATCGGCCTTTCCCCGGCCGTCGATGAAGCGGTCCGTGACACTTTCAATGGACTGGCCCACGGCCGCCGATGGAGATGCCCGAGACACGTGTGACGGACTGGCCCCCGGCCGCCGATGGAGAAATGCGTGCATGGACCGGCCCCCAGCAGCCGATGAAGCGGCCCGTGACAAAGGCGATGGACCGGCCCCCGACCGTCCCGCCAACGGAGCACCGGCCGCCAAACAGCTCTCGCCTCGCGTGACGTTTCTCGGCGCCGCCTCGATCGGCCCAGTCATCAAGCGTTTCGCCGCCGTCGTACAGTCATCAACCGACACGCCAGGCTAGACGACAGCGGCCAGTCTCGCCCCCCCCCCCTCCCCCCGATCCCCGCCGTCCGCTGAGCCGCGATGAGCGGCGCTGAGCGGCAGTACTGGCACGGCGTACGGCCGGGATCGCTCCGCCCCGGCGGCGAAGGCGGCGACAGTGACGCGCCGGCCGCCGCACGCGATCCCCGGGCTCTGTTTACAGCGGCGGCGGCGGCACCGGCGTCCGGCACGGCGCCGGCGTCGGCGCCGGCCGCCGGCACCCCTGCGGCGGTTCCGGCTGTCGCCACGCCGGAGCCCCAGCGCGCAAACGGAATGGGGAGGGGCCGGGTGGTCCTCTCAGAGCGCCACAGCGCCATAAGGACATGCTACTACTACAGCAGCAGCAGCAGCAGCAGCAGCAGCAGCAGCGCCAGGTCACTCCACGAAACGAGCCCAGCCGGACGGCTCGGCCCGACCCGAACACCACATGAAGCCGATGGAACGAACGGAGCCGATGGAACGAACGGCCACGGATCCCAACCGAGTTTTCCTTCTACAGTCGGCAAACACGCACAGCACGGTAGGGTGCCTTGGCGGAGGCAGACGACCTCCCGCTGAGCGTGTCCACAGCTCCCAGGGGGCGCCAGATGAGAGATGGCCCAGGGCAGAGCACCGGCTGGCCGCACGGAGCGCTCTCCCGGCGTCCCGCGGAGGCGCGGCCGGCCGGTGCGCGCGCCGCCACCTTCTTCCCTCCCCCCTCCCATCCCCGAGGTCACCACCACTCACGATCTGCACAGGAAGCGCGCCAATTGAGAGCGCCAACCGACGCCGGGCAGGCAGGACCGTGGCGTCCTCTCACACGCTCCGACAAGAGAACGCTTCACGCGCGCGCGCGCCGTCTGACCACGGCCGGTGGACCAGCCGGGCCGGCCGCCGACACACCTGGCCCGTGTAGGATCACCACCGACTGACGTGCCGCCCCGGGCACCCGCGCACCGCACTGTGCAGCACTCCACGCCACAAGCCGGCCCGCTCCGCTCCACCTTGCGCTCCACTATCACTGGCGCGCGGCGGCCAGGCGCTGGCGGAGCCCCTCTCTGCGGCGGCCGACTGACCGGCGGCGGGGCGGGGCGGTCGCAGGTGGGCAGCGGCCCCAGCGGACGGTGACCTTCAGCGCTCGCTGCACCCGCCCGCCCAGCCGGCCGCCCCCGTCCGGCCGGCCGCCGGCGGCCCACGCAGTCGCGCGCGACTGCAGCGATGGCAGAGGCATCTAGCCGCGGAAACAGACAATACTGTTTCATCTGCATAAGCCAGGTGTCTTGACAAAGAAAGCTATGTGGTATCAAGATGGATTATATGCGTACATGTAGTACGTGGTATCAAGGACTATGAACTATGTAGAATCGCGGAATGCGTAGCATCATCACCTAGGTTCACATTCGTAAAATCAATTTATTACAGTGACCAGATACTAACCATCTTCTGGATTCTAGACAATATAATGTAAAACACGACATGATTTGACGATTATGGTGTCTACGGTCGACGGACGACGCCCCAGCCGAATGAGTAGCAAAACACACCCCTATTCTGAATAACTGTGTGAGCTTAAAGGGAATGTTCCACATGCCAAAATGTGTTTAAAAAATGGAATGTTCCACACAATATTAAAGGGAATGTCCCACATAATATATGTCATGACATAATGGCCAATGCATTCTGCCTATAAAAAACTAAATCTCTACAACGTTAGCTTTATTTTAGCAGATTTCTTAGCGCATTTTGCAGAGCGGACAATGACCAACCTTTATGAAACGTTCCGGTACATGTCATTTATTTCTCACCGCTTCATGTTTTTGGAGGCAAAACATAACTCAAGTACTAATTTATCGTTACTCAACCACACAAAGTGGTTTCTGGGCACTCGGGGTTGGCCGGTCTTTCCGGACCTTTGAATCTTATCGAATGCTGCCAAAAATCAAACTAAATCTAGCCAAAGACTGCCTGGTAGGTTCCATGGTGCGCGTGGCCAGTTCAAGGCATATCTTTACATAGTTATCCATATTTGGAGTGAAGCCTATGATAGCCAATATCTGGTTGCAGCTAGCAAATATTTGCGCCCCGTTAAATTGAGTGTGTGAACATGTGGACCCTCAAATACGAATGTTGATGGCTAGGCTTTGATCTGGCCATTGGTCGTCAGTCCCGGGGTGCCATGCGAGCCGCCCCCTCCCCCCCCCCCCCCTCTGGACCGACGACGAAGCAGTCATCGTCATCGTCACATCTGGAAGGTGCAGGTGGCCTGCCTCTTCCCTCTACTGAGTCCGGCGATGAGTACACGGGTCGACCGGGTCCCCACGCCCGCCGGGCACACGGAGCGCTAAATATATACCTGAACTCGTCAGACAATTCAGTGCATTACATGTCTCTGGCCCACTCTAACCCCACTCTGTCGTTCATGGCTATGGCCAATTACAGTCAGCCAGCTGCATGGGGACAACCCGGCCGTTGTGGTGCTTCCATAGCAGGATTAAGCCACAGGGCACCGCGCCACCAGCCACCGGCGGGGCCCGCCGCCTCGTACCCAGGCAGCCGTGCTCGGACAGCAGCCCGGTACGAAGCCGGCCGGCGACGGTAGCTCTCCACATAAGAGGCTGCCCAGCCGTTCTGCCGCTCACCATAGAGGCTGCGTACGCCTCTCGCAGGCCGACGGCCCGCGTGCCCCCCCCCCCCCCCCTACAGCCGCAGGGCGGCGGCGCGGTCACCCCGCATGCGGCGAACATCCGAGGTCATCAGGGACATTCGCCAGTGCCCCGCAGTGCTGTTTCCAGCCTCCGCCACCACACGCGCCTGCTCCACAGAGAAGCCGGGGCCTCGCCAGGGGCCGAGGCGCCCGGCCTCTGGCGGTGAGGTACTCACATAGGTGGCGTCCGAGTCGGCGGCGCGCCGCTCCAGCTCGGTCTGCACCACGGCCTAGGTTCCGGCACGACTCGGCCAGGATGGCCTGCACGCCGTCACCGTCCGAGTCACTGTCCAGGGAGTCGCTCAACGCCCGCGGCTGAAAGCAGACGTGGAGTCAAGCTAAGGGGATGGGTTGCCGACCCACAACATCTGTCACAACCATCCTGGTCAAGGGCTAAACAGCCCTTTGACGGGCGAAATGATGCGTTGGAACACAGAAATAAAGAAGCGCAGCGTTGTTTAAATGATAACCATCATGCCTTGAGCTGGCGCCGCTGACAGAGCATATCAGTAATGGTTGCAGAACAAGTTATTGACAAACCCGAAAGGATGACCAGTTCAATAGCTATACGATAAACATGCATCCAAAACGACACATCTCAGTGGCAGACATGACAAATGGCGCTGACGCCTGCCACGACATGCTCAGTGCGGCACTGATGCCTGCCACGACAGGTTCAGTCCGGCGCTAGCGCCTGTCACAACAGGCTCAGCGCGGCAGTAGCGCCTGTCACGACAAGGCCAGTCCCGGTGCTGACGCCTGCCACGACAGGTTCAGTCCGGCACTGACGCCCTGCCACGACAGGTTCAGCGCGGCACTGACGCCTGCCACACTAGGTTCAGCGCGGCAGTAACGCCTGCCACGACAGGCACAGTCCGGTGCTGACGCCTGCCACGACAGGTTCAGTCCGGCACTGACGCCTGCCACGACAGGTTCAGTCCGGCACTGACGCCTGCCACGACAGGTTCAGTCCGGCACTGACGCCTGCCACGACAGGTTCAGCGCGGCAGTAACGCCTGCCACGACAGGCACAGTCCGGTGCTGACGCCTGCCACGACAGGTTCAGTCCGGCACTGACGCCTGCCACGACAGGTTCAGTCCGGCACTGACGCCTGCCACGACAGGTTCAGCGCGGCAGTAACGCCTGCCACGACAGGCAGTCCGGTGCTGACGCCTGCCACGACAGGCTCAGTCCGGCGCTGGCGCCCGCCATGGCAGAAGTGTGCCGTATCTGTCCCCTCTCTCCACCTTCCCGCCTTTCTCACCTTCCGGCGGCTCCTCTTGAGCGGCGAGCGCGGCGGCCGCGCGCGCTGCTGACCTGCGATGAGCGCAGTCCGAATGCGAGTCAATGTATTTGCGGTAGTCGTCGCAGTCGAGCAGGCGCAGCACGGCGTCGCGGTCCACCGAGCCCTCGGAGCCCACTTCTGTTACCTCCTTCAGCTCCTGAAACGAGCCGGCCGCTCAGCTCACCACCTCAGCCACTGCCACCACACCACACTGAACGAGCCGCCGCTCAGCTCACCACCTCAGCCACCGCCGCCACACCACACTGAACGAGCCGGCCGCTCAGCTCACCACCTCAGCCACCGCCACCACACCACACTGAAGCAGCGCGGAGTCGTCGCGTCACGTGGGCGCGCGACGCTTCAGCCGTCTCCAGATTTAGCCCGGCGCTCCTGATTTATCGCGGTTGCCAGCTAACGAACTCTCGGCGGCGGCCGCCTACCGACCCACGGAGGCGGTCGAACACGACGCCACAGCAGTGACGCGGGAGGAGCGGCGCCCGGCGCCGGGCACGCAAAGCACTCACGTGGAACAGACTGAGCAGGACCAGCACGGCGGCTGTCATCGCTCCCGCCGCACGACGCGACACGACACGGCGCGACACGGTACGACGCGGCACGGCGGTACAGCACGCATCTCTCCCCTGGTGCATAGCACGCGGCGCAATAGCGTGGCGGGGGCGGGGCGTCGCCGGCGCCATCGATTGTTCCCAGCGCAAGGGGCGCAGCCAGGGCCGCCGCCTACCGGGGGTGCCAGCGGGGAGTGGCGCAGCGCGGGGAGCGGTCACGCGCGGTGCCGTCCGGTCCTGCTCGGAAGGTTGGCCCGAAGCAGCCCCCACTGCGACCCGCCCCTGCCCTGACGCGGTGATCATGATCGGCGCGGCGCTCGCCCCGGACGTCAGCTACGGTCGGGAAGACCTGGTGCGACGGACAACCGTAGCGGCCCGACAGCCGGCGCGGGCGCCGCGCGGGCGCGACCACGGCACGACGGCGGTTTACTCGAGCTCCCCGGATATTGGAGAATCTACGGCGCCCTCAGGAGAAAGGCCCAGGTGCAGTGAGTACTCAGGTCGAGTCGAGTCCTCTGACGGTCCTTCACGCCCAGTATTTGAGAAACCCACGAGTGTTTACGATACACACCACTGTCAAATCAAGGTTTGTGTGCACAGCACAGGGTCTGGGCGACGCTGATCGACCATGACGTCCACACCGCGACGCCAGGCGCAAACGCCACGGCGGAGGCGACTACACGCAGAGTCAGCCGAGGCGACTATACGCAGAGTCAGCCGAGGCGACTGCACGCACAGTCAGCCGAGGCGACTGCACGCAGAGTCAGCCGAGGCGACTACGCACGGAGTGCGTCGGCTCTGGGGCGACAGCTCAAACCGAAGGGCTGCTCTCCGCGTGGGGCGCGATGCACAGGCGTTTTGCAACTGTCTGCACACCCCACACTTTTACCCGAAGAGGACTGACGTTTCGCTAATCTAAAATAATTACAACAGGACAGGACATCAATCTTGACAGGACGACGTAAAGTGGCTAGTGCCCGGAAGAGCGTCGGGAAGCGAGGGCTCAGCCACGAGACTGCCAAAGTGTTAGACCGCCTGTCAGTCGCCGTACAAACACCAGGCACGTGTTACGCATCAAGGCAGATTTAATTCACCGTCTGCTCCGGTGATAGCTGAGCTCAGTGTACTTTACTGCGCTGGTTTGTGCATCGTGCCTTGGTTGCGGTGTCGCAATTACGAGCTTTTCTCCCCAATACAATTTTGTATTTCTTTGACTTAGGTTCGAAAAAAAGCATTTCGGGACGTAACCGCGATAATGTAACTGGACTAATAACCAAACTGAACTGAACAAGCAGAGAGAAGGGCCAACCCCAGTGATCGGCTCGGCGCGGCGCGGGTCGCCCCGGCCGGTCACCGGCCCGCCGGGAGGTGCCGGCCGCCCACGGGCTGGGTCACGCGGCCGGCGGGGGGACGGCCAGCCGCCACCACAGACCGGGTCAGAATGGACTGACCACAGCGCGGGCGCATCTGACCACCAGGCGGCGGCAGGGACAAGTGTCGTCTACTAGCGCGTCGGGAACCGATCGCCGCGTGAATGTGATGCCGTGTCGTTTTATCCAACACTAAGCATGTGGATCGCCGTATGACGCCCAGGCGCCGGGGACACGCCTGACAGGCCAGATAGAACACCAGCTGTGTGTGACGACGGTCAGATACGTCCGCGGTTTGTTCAGGTACCATCCATACGGTGTGGACTTTACAGCAACAGGAATCGGCGTGGCTTAAACGGGAGGCAGTGATCCGCTCGCATTAATTGTCGGCCCCGGGTATGGCTGAGACGGTACAGCTCTGCATGACACGAAACGTTAGTCTGCTTCATTGCACGTAGAAACACAATGTCTGTGTTTCCTATATAATTTACGAAATGTTTGTGGTTTTAATGAAAGGCATTCATAAAGTGTTTTAATGCAAAAATATTTCCCTGTTGCATTAAACACAACTATGTGTATTACACAAAACATCATTGTGTTCGCCAAGAATGACAGAAGAGCAGCTGGGTCGACGCATATGACAACACCAAGGATCGCATCAGATACTAGTGTTATAATATCTCCCCAGGCCTTTCAGGCAGTCGGAAAGCCAAGGCAACATCACAGACGGGCGGCCCATGCCACGGGCATCGGCATCACCGACGGGCATGGCATGCAACGGACCACGCTGCTGATAACATGCCGGAGATGACCTCCAGAAGTATACCCACCGGTGCGCCCCACCCGGCACCCGAACTTCCACCGCACCGGTGGCGCCACCTACCTGGTATGGGTCCCAGGCCTGCTCGGAGAAGGAGCCGACCTCGTCGGCCTGCGGCGGGCCGCCGTGGCGGGGTGAGGAGCCCTCGGAGGCCGTGCGCGGCGACACCTCCACCAGGGTGGCCTCGGTGGCGCACGACAGCAGCGAGCTGCGGTGTAGCTCTGTCGGCCGACGCCAGACCACCGTCAGCGGATGGCGCAAGGACGCGACGGGCGCACACGCCAGCGCACGCTCAGGGAAACGGATAGCGCTCCCATAACGGATACTGCATCATACCCCTGCGAGCTCCCGCAGCGCCACCCGGAGGTATTCAACCCCCGGCAAACAAGTAAACAACGCATGAGATGACTTGACATGCATTGCCTTGGAGCTTTACCCCACAGACATGATATCACATGCCTTGGAACTCTGAAGGGAACGATAGGTCGAACACAAGGCGAAAAGGAGCGTGTGACACGTTAGATTAGATTAGTTAGATTTATAACTACGTACGATATGGTTCTTATAAACAGAGACCACACAGTCAATTGTAAATACAGATATAAATGTAGATGCATCGCGAGCTGACAGACTTAACTCCTGGCAGTAAAAGGTAGGGGGTGCTGGCGGACCGACGGCCGACGCCATCCCGCCACTGCTGCCGAGGCTTGGCCGGTGGCGGTACTGACCGGCGGCGGGCAGGGTGGCGCCATTCCGGCCGCGCTCGCCGTCACTGCCGGAGGAGCGGAGGCTGCGTCGGCGCCGGTGCACGGGCGAGCCGGCCGCACCGCCGGCCTCGCTGCCCGAGCTGTGCGCCGCCGTCGGACGCAGCGGCCGCGAGCGGCGCCGGCCCGACCAGAACGGCGAGTCGAACGACACCGAGCTCGGTAGCCTCTTGGGGATGGCGCCGGCCGACACGGTGGTGTTGCTCGAGCTGTCGACACACGGGCGTCAGATCAGCCGACAGGGCGTCAGACTATCCGGCAGGGCGTCAGATCAGCCGGCAGGGGCGTCAGATCAGCAGCAGAGGCGTCTGATCAGCTGACAGAGCGTCAAAACAGCCGGCAAAATATCAGACGCGGAGCCTAGTCAGAGCACTGGATCAACCAGCAGAGCGATTCCAGCCTTGTGGCAAATCCGCGCGCGCGGCGATCGGAGCACACCAGGAACGGAGCAAACGCGGCTCAGCAGCAGGGATGGCCGGCCATAGACGGTCACATTCACACAACTCACGTGGCTGGTACCGATACGCAGAGCCGGGCACAGCGCTGACGTCCCGGGACGCCCGAGCGGTGGGGGGGGGGGGGGGAAGGGGGAGGAGCGAGGGTGGGGGTGGGGCGCGCGCGCACGACACAGCCGCAGCCGGCAGCGGCCGCGCCCGGCGCCGCCTGACAGGCAATCACAGCTGGCGCCCTCAACACACAAACAGGCGGCGGACGGGACGCTCGCCACATGTCGCCCGCTGTGTACACAGCACGCGCTGCCCGCCGACCGACCGCTCCACACTTTAGGAGACTGAGCGAGGGCCGGCAGACGCGGCCCAGACGCGGCCCGCCGCTGGTGCACGACGACCGGGCGCGGCAGAGGAGCGCCGACACACGCTATTGGAACGGGAAGCGATGGCAGCACCATACAGCCCCGGCAACAGACAGGTGATTGGGCACACCCGACCAAAGGGGCCCCGTGAACCGCAGATCGAGCGCGAGGGATGTGAAGCCCGGAATCCGGTCGCAGCGGAACCAGACGACGGCCGGGTGTTTTCCGTAGCTCACAAGTAAAGGAGTGTCAGTCTCAGATCACGGAGAAGCTAACGGCAGGCGCTGGTGCCCGGCTACGACTACTGAGCAGAGCGGGCGGCAGCAGCACGGTGGCGGCCGAGGAGAGGAGGGTAGGGTACTGCGCACCTGGAGGTGACGCCCTTCTCGGCGGTCGGCGTCACCATCTCGTTGAGCGCCGTCTCGGAGACGGAAAGCGGCGCGGCGCGCGGCCGGCCGGCAGACGTCAGGCCGTGCAGGCTCCAGGGCCGCTCGCCCGAGCGGCGCTTCTTGCTGCGCAGCACCACCTGGTGGGGACAGGCCGCCTGTGTCACCACCGACCCCAACCTCAGGCGTCCGCCGGCGCCAGCGGGTCCCCGCGAGAGCGTTATCTCAGACGAGACGGGTGCGGCGGGAGCAGACTCGACTGAGCCGGCTCTCTTTCGACAGCTTATTAAAGCATCACTACACGCGGCCGCTGAGAACACGATCAAACCCATCACCGGCAGCGGCGACACTCAACTTGGTCAACCGTCTCCCCGTGATGAAAACCGCCCACAAAATCGTCCAGCACCGGGATATACAACCACTTCAGACAGTTTAAGCTATTACAATGCAAGGATATATCAGAGGCAGGTGCTTATGACTGCGAAAGATCTGAAACATTATCCTTTCCGGTTTCGTTTCAGCCACAAGAACGGACCCGAGTTCCACTGTGCGCCGCCGGCTGCCAGGCCCGCTGACCGGGGCCCCTGCTCACCTTGGGCGTGGCGCCGTCCGGACTGCCGCCAGGGGCAGGCGCGTTGGTGGGCGTGGCCAGCTCGTGGCATGTGACCATGCTGCAGGTGAGGTCCTCAGAGGCCGACGAGGCCGTCTCGGCGTCCGACTCGCCGGTGGTGTACTCACCGCTGGCGTCACAGCTGCTGTCCGTCACCTGGCGGCGTCAGGTCACCCGTCACAGTCACACTCAGCGAGGCGCGGCCCGTCACAGTCACACTCAGCGAGGCGCGGCCCGTCACAGTCACACTCAGCGAGGCGCGGCCGTCACAGTCACACTCAGCGAGGCGCGGCCCGTCACAGTCACACTCAGCAGGCACGGCCCGTCACAGTCAACTCAGCCAGGCGCGGCCCGTCACAGTCACACTCTGCCAGGCACGGCCCGTCACAGTCACACTCAGCCAGGCGCGGCCCGTCACAGTCAGCCGGCACGGCCCGTCAGATGCCGCCACAGAGTCACGAGCCGGGACTCGAAGCTCGGCTCCCGCTGAATTTTGTTTGGTGGGGACGGAGTCCCAGTTCATTGTTCATGTACTGAGGTAGGCGCCTGCACATATGGCCATGCAATGGTTTACCCGCGGTCCCTGGCACAGAACTACCAGAGAGAAGACTAGCACCCACCGGCCATGCAGCTCGTGGGACCAAGGCATTGTCGGTGTGACCGGGGCGGCGGGCGGGGACAAGTGGCGCCAGGTGAGTCTATGAGCCGCAAAGCGACACAATGGAAGGGGTGTGAGCCGGGGACTGCCCATATGAATCCGACAACATGACTGCGGCCGGTCGACGCCCTGCATTTCTCATCGGTCATCATGTTTGATGCGTTAGCCGGCGACCCCCATTCACAACTCGTTCGGTTTGTGTTCGTTGGACTCGTTTCAAGGTGACACCCCTGGAGGACGGATCCGTTTCACACGCCTGGTAAGTGCTGCACTCCCGGCCCAGCCCGCGGGCGACAATGCGGGGCACGCCGCGGTGGCCTGCTTCTGAGAGCCGTGCAGGCGCGGAAGTTCCAGAGCAGATAGCGGGGGCCGCCGACAGGAAGCGGAGCCTGGCCGCTCGAGAGGGAAGGCCAGCGTCGTGTCGCGGGCACGCGATGGGCGGCGTGAGCCACGACAGGACCCTCGACTGCAGCAGGCCCGCACGGTGATGGCCGATGGAGCGGCCTGAAGTGGGCAGCGCGCGCACGGTCACCGGCCGGGCTGTCCATCACCGCAGCCGGTCTACATAGGAGACGACGGCCAGGACCGGCGCCGCTCGATCGAATCAGCCGCGCGACACACGGCGTTTACCGGCGCTCACAGCCGCCGGCCGTGGCGGCACGGAACGCCGCCGATCGGTCACGCCCGACGCGCGGCCCTCTGCCAGCCACCTGTCAGCGCCGGGCGACGAGCCACCGAGCGCGCCACACATCAGCCGCTGCACGATAGCGCCGTGCAACCGGCTGCCCGACGGCTGGGCAGGCTATCATCCCTCCCAATGGTAGGCTGCCGTCATCAGGTCAGCCGGCCCGCACGGCACTGCAGTCGGCGCCGCGACCCAACGGCGCCGACGTCGGCTCGATTTCCAGCCGAGCGTTCGCAGGCGTGACGTCCGTTCAAGTCGCCGGTCGGCCGCTCGGGGCACGTGTCGCGCCGACCGGGCGGGGGCGGCGCGAGGGGCCGGCCCGCGGCCCGCTGCGGTGTTTATGACCCGGCCGGAGGCGCGGCACACGGCGGGCGGGGCACGCCACCGTCCGCCGCTCCCCTCGTCCAGCGAGCGGGCCACTTTCCAGGCCTGAAACGCCTATATGCCAGTAGCTGCACATAACGTGGCGCGCCTGGACGGCCTTGGTGTCCAGGGTCCAGGCGGCCGGCCGGCCGGCCGGCTGTCAATCAGGCCGGCGGCGGCGGGCGAGGGCGGACCGGCACCGCCGACGGCGCCACGCCGGCCGCCGCCACAGAAGGGGGAGGGGGGGACCGTCTGGGAAACACCGCCGCACAGGCCACTCGCCGACACACGCGTCGACGCAGCCGGTGACAGTGATCCAGTGAGATGGGTCGGCGGCACACCGCCGCACAGGCAGACAGTCTGTCCAACAGGTGTCCGTCTGGACAACGGGGACGCTGTATGTGACAAACAATAGGCGTTGGCCTTCTCCGAGCCACGCTTGGCAGGGAACCGGTGACCCTCAAACCGTGAACCGAACGGTGGCCATGGCGGAGGATCGACGGCCGGATGTGGAGGCCGGCAGCTTGCACCGCATGCCACACGCTGTTACGCCTGACAACGCGTCAACGTTGGCTGGGTAGGCGACTGGACTGCCCCATTGTGCCGCGCCGCGCGGCTAGTAGGACTGTGCGGGTCTGTGCGGCTGGTAAGCCTTGGCCAAACACAGCCAGCTCCTCCAGCAGCCCCTGCCCCATACCAATACAACAGCAAAGTACAGCGCCCGCTAAACCATCACAGGCGCGGCTCGTGCAGACCACGCAGGCTCCGGGCAAAAAGCGCGCGCGTATAAACACACGCCGGGTGCGGCGCGGTGCCGGGCGGCGCACGCGGCGTGAGTCAGAGGCGCCGCCGGCGACATCACCTGGCGGCGGCCGGGGGGCGGCCGTCAGTCGCGTCTGAACGCACCGGCGCCGCCCGAGGCGGGCCCGGCCGCGTGCGACCGCGTAGCGGGACAGCGCGGCGCGGCGACCCCGCGCCAGGCAGACGCACGCCGCCGCCCGGTCACGGCCCGCGTAACTCTGACCCGGCTCGGCTGGCCGCAGCGGGCTGGGGTAACCGAGCCGCTCAGGAGGCCCGGCAGAGGCCACCTCCCGCCGACGCGGCGTACGCGCCGCCGCCGCGCTCCCTCGGCGGTGGGGGGCGAGGCGGCTCTGATTCAGACAGCACGCCACCGGCAAAAACGCGACAGGAATTCCGCTCGCCACGGGAGACGGGCGGCGGCGCCACGCGCCATCCGGTCGGCCCGCCCGGCCACGTAGCCGCCCGTCGGCGGGCACGAAAGACACGCAACTACACTGTGATCAACAGGTGTAGTTATTAGTTCTTGACTTACCATCACTTGAACAGCAGATAATGGTTGAAGAACGGTATCAGGCAGTTAGCAGGATACCTAATTATGCAAATACCCTATTTTCCTAATGAGTTATATTTTTAGCACCGATAATTCTCATAATAATTAATTAAGATCATCTCAAGTATTCTAATCATGCATTAGGATCC